TCCTGCTGACGTACTGTAAACACAGCTTATTTCTCACTTGAACATTGAAGCTTGTTTAAAAGTAAACAAAGCTCAATGATTTATGAACTTACCCAGTATAACACATCAGTCCATCCTTCCATGGTTATACACTGGAACACAGTCAACATTGCAAATGCAAAATTATCAAAGTTGGTTATGCCTCCATTTGGTCCAACCCATCCACCCTTACATTCAGTGCCGTTCATGACACACTGACGTCCGTTCCCTGAGAATGCACAAGGTGCTGGATCTTCTTCAACTAGTATATCTGAAAATTGACAAAAAATATCAGAACTTTCAGTTCTCAAATGTTTGCGAGTTAACTCTTCGCATGAAGAGGTTTCAACCCTGTTGGAAGGTAAATCCAGGTATCAACCTCAGAAAAGTAACCCATGGGAGCTTCAGAGTTTTAGTTTCTCTCACGTCTGGGCTTTACAACTTTAAAATAGGTTAATCAAGACTGAATGTATAAAAGAGTTTGAGTAATTAAGCAGTTGAAAGTAGCATGTAATAATACAATATAAACTTTTCAGAATCTCCTCAAGCTTTTTTTTTTTCCCCCCCTCTTCATTGCTGTTTCTTCACTTCATGCCACTTCATACTAACAAAGGGACCACCCAGGAAAACACGTCTGGACTAATTCCTACAGAGTCTACTTCATGGACTTAGCTGACAGAAATATGCCCTTAGCCATCAGACAAGATCTCTCCCTCATGATGTTTCACTCCTTCAAAATTATCCCATAACACACACACTTCCATTTCATATTTTCACCTGGATGGAGGAACACCATTTTATTTCTTTACTCATTTCAGAACTGCACTTCTTACCGCACTGCCACAATCTTGAAGGAGAGACACTGCCAGATTGTGAACTCAGGAAAGTATATCTTCCCTGGAGTAGGTAGGACTAGTTAGCATTTCAGTAAACAGAAAAAACTACTGAGTTGTTCCTTGTGGATAGACAGTCTTACCATTTTCACAACAGACATTTCAGTTCCACATTTCAAAAATTAAAACCTTTCAGAGCATGTTCTAGTCTCTAACTGGATTGCATTTTTGTTAGTGGGGTTTTTTTGTTTGTTTTTTTATTTTATTTTAATGCACTCTTCCTAAAATTATGAAGGACAGTGAAAACTGGGGTTACAACAGTTTTAGTGCTTTGGTCTCTATTCTATTTCAAACTGAAATCCCACAGACTTGAAAGAAAACAGAATCAATCCCTTATCTTAGTCAATAATTTCATGACTTACCTGAATCAATAAGAAAACAAGATTTGTGCATTTTTCCAATAAAAAGTTCCAATCCTATAATAGCATAGATTATGATTACAAACAATACCAAAAGGGCAATATGGAGGAGGGGGACCATGGCTTTTATAATGGAGTTCAGGACAACTTGTAAACCTAAAAGAGAAAAAGAGGATACAAGATATGAACCAGACTTCTATGTCTTGGCTTACCAACTTTTCTATAAATACACATTATTAGAAATTAATGATACAGGCATGCAGAGTGAATTAGTTTTTAAAAAATTGCTACTGACCAGAACCACAAAATGTTCCTACAACATAAAATACTTCATAAGAATCTAAAATTTTGTGTCAAAGTCTAATTATTTCCTCTGTTAATAAAGGTTATGTCATAGAAGTCAATGCTGGAAATGTGTCACAAGAATTTATGAGTTTTTTAGAAAGAAAGGGCATGTAGTCAGTGTGTGGCTGGAGGTCATTTTATAAGACCTTTAAAAAGTCCCGTGCTACAACCACAACTTTGTGGCAAGTCCTGAGAAAACATACACTCAGCCAATTGCAGAACTGTAAACTGTAATTTTGGTCTGGAGAGATAAATAGAGGGAAACCTGGGAAAACACATTTTTACTCTGAACAAACTTTTTCATTATTTATCCCTCACATCACTTCCAGAACTACTTCGTTTTTCTTTTCTCCTTAATTACATATTTAGTCAAATTTTGGTTTTACCAAAAGAAGTTAATTCCAGACTAATGAAGCTGCCATAGTACCAACGAGAACAAAATATGCCTCATTTTTATTTTAATAGGCTTCCTTTCTGACATTTCATAAGACTACTTCTTTCTTCACTGAAGTTCTTTTGCTAAATATATACCATCATGATCATTTCCATGTAACAGACTATGATATTATAAACACAGCATTAGAATTCTCCTTTTGAATGTCTTGGAAAGGGCTAAATTTTAAGCCATGAACCTCTTACTCAGCTCAAATAGCTTCAGTAATTAATAATGTATTAAAAGAAAACAGGAAAGATTAGCAGAAAATTCAATTGCTTTCTTTAAATAATATTGTTCTACTTTTTAAGTTTCCTAATTTATCTGTTAGCTCTACCGAGATAAACAGAAGGCATTCATGTGCATTGGAGGGGGCAGGAAATATGAAATGCGTAATGTGCTTTGGCATACACTTACCAACATATAAACCATTTTAGGACCACCTACACTTTCAGATCTGCCGGGTTTTGGAATTAAAAAAATCTGAATTTTATTTTCTGGTGTATTTGCATTTTAACATGTAATTTACTTTTATATAAAGCTTCTAAAAAAGAAGTGTATTCCCCTGTCTGCTTATTGAACTGTGTAAGAAGATCATACACTGAATGAATTCACAATCCTTTGTTCAACTTGAAATAGGGTATCATTCATCTTGAAACTCACTTTATCTACATAACCAGATAACAAAAAAATCAACTTTATATTATCTCATTTCTGTTAGTGTCTGGAACAAGAAAGTTAAATAATCAAATCAGTTACAGCATGCATTCCAATGGAATTAAATAGAAAAGAGCTTACTGGGCACTCCTGATACAAGCCGGAGAGGTCGCAATACACGAAAGGCTCTTAGGGCTTTGACATCAAAGCCACCAGGTTTGCCACCTGAGTGGCTGCCACCTTCTGTTTCTTTGGTTAATTGTTCCAATATTACACTAAATAATCTAGAAAATGAGATGAAGGGTAAGGTCATCACCATCCATTTACCATGCAATTAAAGGTATTAGGAAATTACTTGAACTGCAGACAATTCTGAAATGCTGTTCAGCTGTCAAAATGAGACATATAGTTACACAGTAAATCATGACAGGAAGAGTTATGAAGTGCAAGAGCTTCTACTCCCTCCAGAGAGCGATGATCACACAGTATCCAATAAATTAGCATTCTGCTTGTATACACAATCTGCTATTTTTATATAGACGAAGCTTCTTTTCCACTTCTTTGTTCAAACATTTTAGCTGTAAGGTTTGGCGAATTCGTCTTCTCTTTAGAACATGAAATAGATAATCACTAGAAACCATCTGTTCTAATTTTGGTGGAATATATGAACTCCAAGTGACACTGCAGTTCAATATTCTAAATACAGTCAGCAAAAACTGAATATATTAAAAATAATTAAAGTCCAACATTTAATAACACCAACAAGATTTGTTTCTTACACGTAATATCTTTGAGGATAAAAATATTCCCAGATGACTCATTTATTATATTGTATTTCTTCACTGCAGAAATGAGCTAATCATTCATTAGAACATTTTGGAAGACAAGAATTTTATTTTTCTTTCCCACTTCTAACAGTAATTCAAAGTGATGCAAGCATTGGAAGTGCAAAGTAATCTTAGGTTTATTTTAGTTCGGACCTGCATTTCAGATGCATGGTTTTCTAGACTGTGGCTAGACCATGCAAACCATATCATCCTTTGCACAGAATCTGTAGTCCAGTAGTTGCAAAACTGAACTTCTCCTGAAAGGATTACCAAGTCAATAGTGTTTTGTAATCCTGAAAAACGTGTCAGACTTGGAAAGGACTCCTGAAGTGTCCAGGTTCTTGGTTTGGTCAAGAAAAGTCTTCACAACTCTGGTTCACAACTCTGTCCTGCCGGATAGTTGCTAGACATTGTGTAATATTTAATAGGTTGCCCAAACTAGAATATTGAAGTCTTTCTCTTCCACCAGTAAGCAACTGACCCGTATCAGCCAATATCCATCCCTACTCTGCTTCATTTTCCTCTAGAGTAAAACCCAGCCACGAACACTGCATACCTCAGAATGAAAACCAGCAACCTACATACTGCTATAACCATAGAAATCCAGACATTTAATATTTCAGGTTCTGATTCAGCCCTATAATTTAATAGAAGCATAATTCTAAGCAAATGAGCCACCTGATGATTTCAGAGTGACTATTCATGCTCTAAAGGCAGACATGATTAAACAGACTTCTGAATCAAGTCCCAAGTTAAGAGAAGCTGCTTTCAACCTGTCAGTTCATAAATCATTAGAAAATTAAAGGGCTACAGGCATAGGAAGGTGCTATGAAAGCTTTCTGTACCAGGATGTTATTCTTTCACAAAAATCAATGGAAACTATGTGGCATAGCATGCAGGCAAGTAGTAGACTGCTCTGAAAGTAATTCATACTCTGACTGGTTTCAGAGAGAAGTGACAAAGGCAGGAGCAAACGTCACATTCACAGCTATGTCTATAGCTCTGTCATTTTATGTCTATTCTATAAAGCCATTAAGATATAAAACCATTGATCTCTTCTTAAAATTGACATTTATTCTCCTGTACAGTTTACCAAAGTTTAAATGCCAAATTTGATGTTGTGGAAAAAAGTCTCTATGTGTGCTTCCCTTTTGCTAGTAGACATTTCTTCTGGTATAATTAAGATTTATGCATTTGGACTGCTACAGTTTCTACTGAGAAAGCACATGAAGCAAATTTCATCTAATACATTCAATATAGGACATTGTGGCAGCTCTTTCAAAGCTATTAAAATACCTAATGAAATTTCACAATGAAACTAGTCAAACAGAATCAGATCCAGAAGTGATTCAATATCCACCTTGAATTATATATGAAAATCAATTTTTCACTGGGCTTTTAAGTATTAATTAAATAAATGGACTTGTGCTTACTCACTTGCTTATGTGGGTTGTGTTCTTCTTAAAAGAAGAAACAAAAATTTTGCTCAAATTGCAAGAACAAAAATATTGCTCACAGTTTTCTTAGTGTCTGATGTTATGAAAGGTCCACCTTGTCTTCCAGGTAGACTGATGACATCCTATACAATAGTTTATATTCCAAAACTTTTGGGTTTGAGCCAGGATTTAAATCTTAGTGTGATATTTTAGGTATTTGATAAGATTTAGTCCTTTTTTCTTTGTATTTTCCATGAATTCAGTGTAAGCATTTGACCTAACTAGATTTAGCCTCCAATGAGTGTTTTATGAGTTAATGGAAAATTTTTTTAGTTATCATGTATTTAGGACAGCCAAAGATAGAGGTCATGTTAATTAGACTGCTCCAGGGTTTACTGTAACTCCATGGTCACTTGACAAGAGGGAAAAGGTCTATTCAAGTGACTGCCTGGCAAGAGAACAGAGCTTTTATGTCTGATAGTCTCCATACCTGCCCACCAAGCTTCCCCTTCAGGCATAGAGGCCAATCTGTTGAGAATGACCTGACCTGATGAAAGAGCTATTTATATTCAAATTTTAGTCCTGGACCAAAACTGCCTGAATGCCAAGCAACTGGCCCAAATACAATCTTCTCAGTAACATTTGCTATCTCAGAATCAAATAGTTATCATAGGGTATTCATACGTTCATTTTTAGCATGCATTCTCCCCCCAGGCAAGCCAAAATCATACAGATGTGGGGCCTCATCTGCAGCACCCCAAAGGAAAGTACTTAAGTCCAGTTTTCCTCAGATTTTGGGAAGGCCAAGGAACCACTCAGTTAACTCTGTCTCCCCTGACCACTCTCTGCTTCGAAACATGTAGGTTCTCCCAGAGGTCTTTGCAGAATAGACGAACTCCACATAACTGCAGTATGGGGATAAATGAATAAATGACAATGTGTGGACCTAAACAGATCAACCTTTATCACATGGAAAGACATCAGGAGTTCACCTTGGGAAAAAAAATCAGATTAAAAAGATTCTGTAAGACAACCACCAAGGATATTGTTTCGCACAACTCAGTTCCCTGGGAACTTCTACTATAAGGCTGATTGTGCAACACAGCCTGTGGCCACAGATAATGTGGAAGACTTTTAGGACTTTGTTTTGAATTTTCCACTCATATCTGTTCATTCTTTTACTCCAAAGGAATAGATATCAAGCACAGGCCATTACTCACAGCCAGACCTGTATCTACCTCACTGCAAAGATTTTAAGTCTTTGTATAATGAAGGATAAGTTACTTACCCTACTACTACTATTACAAAATCCAATAAATTCCATCCATTTCTAACATACGCATTGGGGTGTAATAATAATCCATATGCTATAATCTTCAAAAACGTTTCAACTGTAAAAATTATCAGGAAGGCATATTCTACTTTTTCCTGTAAAAGACAAAAAGGTACAATGAAAGACAATGTAATTTAACAGCTCTTTTACTAGTTAGAATTTGAAGTGGGTAAGTTGTATTGATCAGGACTAAGGAAATACTATACCTCATAGCAGTTTACAGGTTTTAATTGCATAGCACTTAACGATAGCTGTACTGACAAAGTTATAATTATATAATTGCATGAGATTTTCCTGTTTTCACATTGAGAGAGAAAAAGGCTCTGTTTCTGTAAACATGGAAGTATACTGTACCTTTGCTTAAGCAAATAGTCCCATCCAGGTCAATAGGATTCTTTGCACTCATTAAACCCAGAAAATGCTGTAAAACAGAGTCCTGGAAATATCCTTACAAGGTATACAGTGGTATACTTACTTTCACTATTCATTATGACAGCCTTTAATTAGGACCCACAGAGGAGTTTCAGACTGTGCTATCCCATACTAAGGAGACTCAGAAAGTTAAGCTATTTAAGAGGGTCTTCATTTAATTTTACACTGTCTTACAACTTTTTCAATTTTGACATGGAAGTTTACATTGACTTATTCTTCCTTCAACATCGTCAGAATTTCTTTAAATCACCCTAATATGCTTGAAGAAATTTTAAATTAATATATCACCACCTTGTATCATTGAAGCTCCAACTTCAGATTTGTGTCAATACTTTTTTTTAAACACTATTAGTTTCTTAATTTTACCAAAATTCTTCCTTTAAACAGAGTTATACATTGAATCTTTTCTCCCAGCTAAATGGAGAATATATTTTTGTAGCTTCTTCTTTCTATAGTAATAGCATATTTGATTTGGATAAATTATAAAAGTCACTCCTATCAAAACAGATCAGTTAACATATTTGTTCTTTCTACCTTCAGATATCATCATTTCATCACTTTGTATAATACTTTTAGTTATCTGTTGCTATGCAAACATTAGAGCCAAGAATAAAAGACACAGAGAATGATTCATTTTTTTTGAACTTGTTCAGGAACACATGATGTTGCTCACTTGTCACACACAGCATTAATTATATGGACTATAACTGCTCAGTAAGGATTACAATCTTCTACTATCATATCTCAAATATAGCACAGATGTTACACACAAAACTATGCATTTGCTATTTGTTACGTAGCTTGGCACTTTCACATACAACCAAATGAAAAACAAGCCTTGACCGTTTGCAATTTAAAGATCTTTATATTCTCATGTGCAAAGTCTTTAATTTGGGAGGCTAGATTTCTTTTCCTCAGGAAAAGGCCATTTAGGGTTGGTTATGTATAGGATGTGATAAATCTGATACTGGTGACTTAAACGTAGAGGCTTATCAATAAACTACATACTTCTCTCCAAGTCTTCATCTCCAACAAGCAGCACCCTGGGATCACTATGAGAGATAAGGCTTTCTTCTAGTGCAAAGTGAGGATTCCTGGATCTCATTCTCTGCTCAGCTCAGTCTCATACTCCTGCCTTTTTCTTCTGCTTTGAGTACACTTCATAAACACTGTAGAGCTTCACCCAAGGCAGCTTCTCCTCAGCTGCATGATATTTTGCATGAGATCATCTGGCCCAGTGAAACTGATGGACATACTCCTCCTCCTCCTCAATTTTTTCCTTATACTTACTTCAAAATTGTCCCTTCCACTTAATCTATCACCAATAAACCAAAACAATTACTGGATAGCAAGCATGAAGAGGCCTCACAGAAGAAACGTGAATGGTTTGTGCACCAAAAGCCATCAGATTTCTTTGGCTAGAGAGCACCACAGAGACTACAATATTATGAATTATCAGCATTCCTGAGAAACATACAGGAAAACCTCTTTAATTCACGCAAATCCTACCATGTACACATTTCACAATAACTATTTTTGTCTCCCTGCATGTAACTAAGTCTGCAGCTTGGATATAGAAAGATAAATAATGTAAGACAACATAAGGAAGACAAAAATATTACGGTTGGCATTTGCTATAGGCAAAATATATATCAAAATCATAGTAGTATAAAGAAAAGGTAAGACAAAAGAGATATGAAGTTTCATATATGCAAAATTTCAACAGCTTCTTTACATAAAGGGAGCATAGGACACAGGACTGGATAGGACCTTCTGGGCCAAGATGACCTCTTGGGTCATCATGTCCAGTGTCCCATTATTACAGGTAAATACGTAATATAATTCCATCCATCAACCTACCACATTTCATCCTAAAAAACATCCTTGCCCTTCACTGCTCCCCTTCAAAGAAGGTTCTAATGCTCTTCTGCTATTTGGGCTAGGTACTAGTCCTAGTCCCAGCATAACTTGCTTAATGGTCAAGCCCCTGCAGTTCAAATCTAACAACTCTATCCTATCACTTAGCATCCATTACTTTTTTATAATAATATTGGTCTTGTTCCTGTTTATTTTTTAATGGATTGAAAGCAGCCCCGAGGAGAAGGACTCAGGGGTATTGATTGATGAGAAGCTCAACATGAGCCAGCAGTGTGTGCCTGCAACCCAGAAAGCCAACAGTGTCGTGGGCTGCATCAAAAGAGGCGTGACCAGCAGGTCGAGGGAGGGGATCCTGCCCATCTGCTCAGCTCTTGTGAGACCCCACCTGGAGTACTGCATCCAGCTCTGGGGGCTCCATTACAGGAGAGACATGGAGCTGTTGGAGCGAGTCCAGAGGAGGGCCACGAAGCTGATTGGAGGGCTGGAGCACCCCTCCTGTGAAGACAGGCTGAGAGAGTTGGGGTTGTTCAGCCTGGAGAAGAGAAAGCTCTGGGGAGAACTAATTGCAGCTTACCAGTACCTGAAGGGGACCTACAGGAAAGATGGTGAGGGACTGTTAATCAGGGAGTGTAGTGACAGGACAAGGGGGAATGGGTTTAAGCTGAAGGAGGGTCGATTTAGATTAGATGTTAGAAAGAAATTCTTTACTGTTAGAGTGCTGAGGAACTGGCACGGGTTGCCCAGAGATGTTGTGGATGCCCCATCCCTGGAAGTGTTTAAGACCAGGTTGGATGGGGCTTTGGGCAAACTGGTCTAGTGGAGGGTGTCCCTGCCCATGGCAGGGGGGTTGGAACTAGATGGGGTTTAAGGTCCCTTTCAACCCAAACCACTCTATGATTCTATGATTTTATTTTCTTTTTATGGAAGCATGACTGTTTCTTATGTCCTAAACAGTATTGCAAGCATTCTATTCAAACAATATGGGATGTAAGACAAGCTCATTTTTTAAATCCAATGGTGGGCTTAAGAGGTCAGTGTGTGTCACCTAGCAAATGGACCACAAGAAACCTTGACAGTTAGACCAACAGAAGCCACATGAATTTCAGCATGGAAGAATGTAAAGTTCTGCACCTCAGGTTAAATAATCCCACATCAATATGGGCTGAGAAAGGACCTGGAACTCACAGTGGGCACCAAGTTAAACATGGACTCATTGTAAATCAGACAAATTCCACATTGGGCTGTATTAGGTACAGCATGGTGAGCAGATAGAGGGAAAGTATTATCCACCTTTACTCAGTGCTGTGAGGCAGCAACACTACTACAGTTTTACGTCTCTTAGTTCAAAAAGGGTGCTGAGAAAGTACAGACTCCAATGAAGGAAAGATATCCTCCACAGCAAGGAGGATCTCCTCTTCATCAAAGAGGAGGCTCAGTGAAGGTCTAACAGTAGAGTACAATTAACTTGAAGGGGGGTTAAAGAACCCAACTATGAAGCTAAATGCTGAGTAGTAGCACATGGTAAAATAAGGGGAAACAGCCACAAGCTGCAGGTTTGGAGGACATTAAGTAAAACTTCTTTATCAGAAGGGTAGTTGTGGTGGGTTAACCCTGGCTGGGGGCCAGGTGCCCACCAGAGCCGCTCTATCACTCCCCTCGTTCACTAGACAGGGGAGAAAAAGTACAACAGAAAAAACTTTGGGTCGAGACAAGGACAGGGAGAGATCAC